AAAAAAAATCAAATAGATGAAGTCTTAGTATAATAAATGTTTCTTTTTTATTTTTAGTATTTATATGGAAGATTTATGAATTTTGTAGATTGAAAAAATCGACCCTTTTTTTTTCATTATAAGCGATGATAAAAACATTATTTTGATATAATACTTCTCCTCGATGTAATTAAGAGGAAAATAAGATCTATAAATCGTCGAGTTGTCAATTGGATTGTTGATAATAAAGCATGGTATCTTCCACGAGTATTTAGCAGTGATTACGACGTTTTACAAAGTTGGACGCCGAGCTTTCACTGAAAACTACAAAAGACCAAAAAATGAAAAATCAAGGTGCAATTTAGGATTAGCCGATTAAGAACCACGAGGAGAAAGTCTATCTTGGCTTATAGCTCACGGCATTGCAAACAGTTAACCAAGATTTAAGATATTTTATCTATTGCGAGATGAAAAAAAAAATATTTTGAAATTATGTGTATAATGTGTATATTATATAAATGAATGTGATATTATTTATAATCTAACAGCAATTAATTAAAAGTATTTTAATATTATTAAAATATAATATGTAAAAAAATTATGAATTATTTTAAAACATTTAAATGAGTTTTTATTTTTTTGATTATATTTAATTAAATTTTTATAATTTTATTTTATATCAAATACAATTTTTTATTTTAAACCCAATAAACCATTACTTCTTTAAAAAAAACCTAATAAACCGTTACAATTAATAATTAACTTAATTAAAATATCACTTGTCAGTTTATGTCAAATGACATACTAACATATAATAATAAATAATAAAATGACATATTAATATAACAACGTAATATTTTTCATCTCCGTATTAACATTATGTGAGCTTAAAATAATAAGTAATATTTTAATTAATGATAATTAATTAACTATTAATTATAAAAATTTACTTTATCTAAAATAAAAATATAAAAATTTAATTAAAAGTGATAAAAGAATAAAGATTTATTTAAATTTTTTAAAATAATTTATAAATTTTTTGAAGTATTATGACTATAATTAACTAACCTTATTGTATTATACTTCTAACGTTATCATTCATAAGCTCTTTTTTTCCTACAATTCATCAATTTAAATAAGATCAAGAAAAGCCACAAATTTTAATTTTATTCTCTTGATGGTCGAGTTATTATTATTCAAGCGATAGACACGTCCAATGGAAAAACGCTGGGTTTTTAATCATTGTGATATTCATTCAATGTATTAGTTGGTCAATGTTGATGCTGTTTGTTTCGTGGACTTATAATTTATGCATGATATGTTGAATATATCAATACAAGCAGCCTTCTGACCAAGAAGAATATTACTAAAAATATCTATGTGGTTGAAGGTTGAAAATTAATATTTTTGGTTTTGAAATATCTGGCAGTCAAATTTCTGGAATTTTGGAACCTAATATTGGATGTTTTGACTTGACCTCATTTTTCTCTTTCTTAGATCACTAAAAAGGAAAATTTTAAAAAATATTTTAAAAAATGAGAAATTTAAACTCATGAAACTTGAACTTATATTTTCTAAATAAAAAAAATTATATATTAATTAATAAATTAAATATTCAGATACAAATGGTAATTTTTTTTTTATAATTTGAAACATTAAATAGGACTTAAAATGTAAGTATTTTTCTTTGACCATAAATGTTATCATTTACTACTTCTATTTCTTGGTTCATGTAAAATTGGAATAAGGTCCAAATTTATTATTTTATTTAAAGTAATAAATCAAATTTATCATTCATATTTGAGCAATTGCAATATTATCATATACTTTTCAACTTGATTCAAAAAAATTTTTAAAATTGACAGTGAAATAATATTACATCAAGAAATAAAAGAACATTCTACAGAATATTTTCAATTTTGATGATTTTCAAAGTAAATTAGAGAATATAGTGATAAAATTACCTTAGTTTAAATATTAGCAAAAATTTTGGTAAGTCTTAAATAATAAATTTATACCCTGTCCCTTATAAAACTTGATTGAGTTTTATTTCAAAAAATAAATACATTTTTTATTTTAAAAACTTAAGAAAGTGATGAAGATTTTTATCTTAAGCTAGGGATTGAAAAATTTAAAAGTTTGGTTGCTTTTAATACCACATGGAACCACCGTTCAAGCGGAAAGAAATAAAGGACACGAGAACTACCCTCCATCTTCCTGTACTTATCGGCCATCGGTGCAGTCTGCCCTTTATACCACAGCCACCAACTAGACCGCCTTGTAAAATAAAACCGAGTAATATGGATTTCAGTCAATTTTTGTTACTAAGACCATCTTACTTTTTGCAACTTTCAAGTCTCCTTCCTATTTTCACACCTTGATCAAAAAGAAACATTGCTAGTTATTGACAAATATGCAAATAATTTACTTAATTCTTCATTAATACAAGATTTTTATAAAAAATATTAAAATCGAGATATATATGAATTAAAATAAGTCATTTTTCTATATAGTAAAAGATAGATAGATTCCAATCAAGATACATCACTTTTTTTATATAATAAAAAAGGCCTTCCAATAACAAATACACAATTATGTATAACAGAATATTATAAATTTTATATTAAGAATAAATAAATGAAATAAATTTTATTGTTTTATTAGTTTAGTTAATAATAAAAGAAGATAAATTTGTTATGAAATAAATCTAAAAGAACAAGCATAAGAGAAAGTATAAGAGATAATATTTAAAGGGAAATAAAGTATTTAAAGAGAAAGAATAAATCTTATTAAAGTGTGTATATAAATGAATAGAGTAAATAACCCCTTTACAAAATGAAAATAACACTTAGAGATTAAATGGACTAAATCATAATCTAATCTAATTTACATCAAATCTATATATGAATAATATGAATGGATATTTATAAAAAATATTAATAACATTTTTTTTGAATATCCATTATATTAAGAATATGTCTCGTTAAAATCTTACAAAGAAAAACTCAATAAAAAAAATCTTGATACGTATTTTATTTTTAAAAAATAAAAAATAAAAAATATTCATAACAAAATTATATTTTTTGTCCAGTATTGATTTTTTTCCCATCTTTTTGACTATGTATGTTATTTGAGAAATCTGTGCTTATTTTTTTTAATGTATTAGTTCGTTTAATACAATTGAGTTTCTCTACATGTTTGATCCATACCCAAATCTCAATTAAACTTTACCACTTGAGTTAAGACGAAATAAAAAAAATTCATTCCTTATAACCTTAAATTGAAAATCATTTAAGGTTTTTTTTATTTTTTAAATAAAATAAAATTATAAAACTAGTTAACTTAAAAAAAAAAAAGAGTGTACAAAAAACTGTCCTCGTGAGAATTCCAATTTGCACCAACTCGTTTAACCACAAGGGCATTTGTCCTTTTGTATATATGCCCTCTTGTATCCCACAACCTTCGCATGACCCGCTTGTGGCTACAAAACAAGAAAACAGATCAAAAGTGATAAAAGGACAATGACATTTACATATAACTAATCATGTGATCAATTATTAATAAAACTTTTTTCTTTTTGTGATTATATTCCTTGATTAAAATCGAACATATTACTATACGTGATGCATGCCACCGTGATATGATAATAATCCTTTACAAAAGCACACGTGAGTGTATTAATGTAGGTCATAATAAATACTACTAACGAATATACGTACACATGTCTATATAATTAAAAAAGAATAAAAAATGGCGTAAACGCATATATTAAAAATAGAAAGCACAAAATCACCCTACCAAACCTAATTACAACTAATAATTTATTGAAAATTATTATTGAAATTTCCAGATGGTCCAAGTCAATTTAACATAATTATTAAAATCGAACTGAATAAATGACTATATCGAATGGATCGGTGATCCAACCATTGGATCAATTGAACATAATTTTGTAATTTTTAAATTTTTACATTAAGTATTGATTGGGTGGTTAAATCAATTTTAACCTAATTTAAATCATATTAAAAGAAATTATATTAAATTAGAAATACTTAAATGTCATCAATAGGGTTTAGACTTTGATTTTAAGGAGGACACAGAGTCTTTATAAATTATAACCTTTAAATCAAGCATTATATTTGTATATATATTTTTAAATTATTGTATTTGTGTATAATAATTATATCTTTAAATATAATAATAATTATTATATCTTTAAATAACAAAAATAAAATGTTTAATTCAACCATGACTGGATATCTTTTAGGATCGATTCTGATAACTATACTGTTTAAGCTAGAGTTCATCTGTAGGTTCAGATAAAGTTAATTAATTTAATTAAAGGAGAAAGGATTAAGATAAAGATATAGAATTATAGATAATAGTATTATAGACAGAAACAGCCATCTAGCAACGTAGGGCCTTTGTCTACCACACCCCCACACGAAAGTTGTACCAAACAAAGCAGAACCCAGAGAAAAGCAGCAGACCACATGAAAAAGCCAAAATTTCTCAAAGAAAAGTCAAGTTCAACACCAAATAAATAAATAAATAAATAAATTACTGAAGAAAAAGAAATCCACAAAAATTTGACAATATTAATTAAATAAAATTAATGAAAAAAAAGGAGAGAAAATTTTGCATTTTGTTAGAAGAAGAGGCTGTTCTTCATACGTTTCATCCCCCAGTATCCAAAAGACTAAAAACAGAAGAGAAATTTTACGCCTCCATCGCTACCCTCAGACAAACTGAAAACAAAACCCTAATTTCTTTTCTTTTTTTATTTTTGGCCATTCAAAAAAAAAAAAGAAAAGAAAATCAAAATAAAACCGGCATTTTTATTTTTTTCCATTGAGCAATCCATCTTCCTCTTTTTCTCCGTGGCTTCACTTTCGTTTTTTTTCCCTTCGTTTCCACTGAAACTTTCTCTCTCGTTCACTTCCCTATAATTATTCCTCTTAAATTTTTCCCGGAAAGAGAAACGCATTGTTTGGATTAGGGGACGGTTATTTAAAAGGATAAAACGGTTACGTCTTTGAGGCAATAGCCAGGAATCGTAGCGGGGTTAGGGTTAGTAGTCTCCCCCTTTTCTTTCTTCTGCCCTCTTGTCATTTGTCTAGAATTTCCCCCAAATTTTCTTCTTGCCCCTTTGGGTTCGAGCCCTAGCAGTTGGGAACTTATAATTGATGTTTAATCTAGGGTTTCTAAGTTTACTCCCAATTTGTTGTTATTTAGGGTTATTTTCCCTAATTAAACTGGTTTATGGGCGTTAACTGTCATTTGGGAATAGTTCTTTTTGCCTTTGTTGCTGATTTGAAAAGAGGGTTGGATCTTTTCCTCTTTTATTGGGAAATATGAGGGTCATTTGAGACTGGAATATCTGCAATCTGCAAATCCATCTTTTAATCAAAGATGGAAGAGTAGGGAGAGAGTTAATTAACATATAATCTCGTTATTGCCATTGCCTTTGTTTTCGTTGATATGGCGTCACACTTTTAAAAATATGTTTCTCTTCTAAAAACAATTCCTTCTTTGCCATTTTGTTGAATGACCCGTTGAATCCATAAAATTACTGGCAACCCGGTTTTGGTGGTTTAGAAGGGGAAGAAAGACTATGGATAGGGTTAGGAATTAGGAATTTAGGAATTTTGTGTAGGAAGGACATTAATTTGGTGGTTTAGGGTTTGAATAAGGTTGAAGAAGTGGTTCATTTCTTTTTAGTTTTCTGATGATCATGTTCAGTATCCCTTATGGAAAGAAGTGAACCAGCGTTAGCTCCAGAATGGTTGAGAAGTACTGGCAGTGTTACTGGGGGTGGCAATTCAGCCCACCACTTTGCTTCCTCTTCTTCTCACTCAGGTGCCATGCATACTTTTAACATTCAGTGCATTTCTCATTCCATTTATGCTGTTTTACAATGTTGCTCTTGGACAAGTATCTGTCTGTTAGATGTACCTTTGATATGACAACTTTTAGATGCCCATCATCTTTCACATGTGCATTTATACTATTTTTTCTGGTTGCATATAGGAATGTATGTATATCATTTGGGAATATATAATAACTGTATTCTTGTTGTTATATTAGATGTTTCTTCAGTGGCGCATCATGGGAGGTATAGAAACTCTAGGAATTTAATTGATTTTGATTCCCCTCATTCGGCATTTTTGGATCGGGCATCTTCGTTGAATTCACGGAGGAGTTCTAGTAATGGTTCTGCAAAGCATGCTTACAGTAGCTTTAGTAGGAATCACCGTGATAAAGATCGAGATAGGGATAAAGAGAGGTCGAGCTTTGGGGACCATTGGGATCGTGATTCTTCTGACCCTTTAGAAAGTATCTTAACCAGTAGGGTTGAGAAATTAGGAGGTATCTCAATCAGTAGGGTCGAGAAAGAGACATTGCAGCGTTCTTATTCTATGGTCTCTAGGAAACAGGGTGAGCCTTTGTCTCGAAGGATTGCAGTGGACTCAAGAGACAGTGGTAATAGTAACCATAACAATGGTAATGGTCTGCTTTCTGGGGGTACTATTGGGAGTAGCATCCACAAGGCTGTGTTTGAGAAAGATTTTCCCTCTCTTGGAAATGAAGAGAAGCAGGCGGTGCCTGAGATAGCTAGAGTGTCATCCCCTGGTTTGAGCTCAGCTTCTCAGAGTTTGCCTGTTGGTAATTCAGCTTTGATTGGTGGAGAAGGATGGACCTCAGCTCTGGCAGAAGTCCCCAGTGTGGTTGGAAGTAGTAGCACAGGTTCCTTGCCTGCCCCCGTAACTGTTTCCACCTCAGTTTCTGGTGCTCCTAGTGTTACAGCTGGTCTTAATATGGCTGAAGCGCTAGTTCAAGCTCCGTCACGAATCCGTACTGCCCCCCAGGTAACTGGCTTAGTCACTAAGTTAATATTACATGGATTACTTATATCTGTGATCTAACTAGACATTTCTATTTCTTACAGTTATCTGTCAAGACTCAAAGACGTGAGGAACTAGCTATTAAGCAATCAAGGCAACTAATACCAGTGACACCTTCGATGCCTAAGGGTTCGGTAAGCCAGTTGCCTTTGTTTTCAGCAAAACATTGTCTCTTAACTTTGTTAAGTTTGTTGTTTTAATACTACTAGACAAGTGTGGTTCCCCACCCTCTTCCTTCTGCCTTCCTGTACATCTTCTATATGATCAGAGATTGTATGCTGGATATTTGTTTATTTCTAATGCCTGTCCATCTACCTTTAGGTTTAATATGTTACATGAAAGCTTTATTTGGCACTTCAATACTGGATCACGTTCTTTTTTGATGAAATCATCAATAATGCAATATAACCAACCTTTTGATCAACCAAAAGAGATGCATTTTCTTGTTATAGATCATACTTATTCCCATTTAGATTAGCTTAATGGCAATAATGCACTGTTTTTGGTTGGAGATGCATTATACTGACCATTTGTCGTTTCTGATTTGCTATCCGTGATCTTATGTCCTGTTCCTGTCTGATTGTCATTCTTTAAAGATAACTTGGGAGTTTGAATATGAGTTTTCCCTTATGAGTCAGATGCAGCAATAGAGTTGAGGTTAAGTTTCGAGAAAATTTAAATTTATGTTCTTTATTTGATGTCAACCTGGTTTAGGAAAATTTACATTGGCCAAAGTAGTTGTTAGAGTTTTAATTTTTTGGTTGCTTATATTAGCCAGTGGCTAATGTCATTTTAATTGAGTTCTCTTTAATCTTAGAAGTCAGGTGTATTCTAGTAATATTAGTCTATAGATTTGCCGAATATTGCTGGTATAGTTGTTGCTTGGATCTTCTATTAGGCTTTTTGGACATAAGCTTTTGTTCATAGCTTTGGGGTTATTTGGATTTAATATTTTTGTCTTGGATTGCAAGTCCTTTTGGGATTTTGGTTTCTAGGACTCTATTTATATACATGTAACTTATTTTAATTGACAGAGAGAGAATCTGTTTCTGTTGCTGCTGGCATGCCTTCTTCTGGAATTGTGTGAACCAACCACGGTAGTTGATGTGCAGTCATAGGAAATCTAGGTGTATCCCAGCAACTTTTTAAACCTGAAAATATAACTTAGTTATGATCTTTTAATGCTATTGAAACCTTGTTGAACCTAACATCAATAATCCCTCATATTTGCACTTAAATCATGAGAGTTATTTTTGCTACTGTTAACTGCATCCAATTACCTCTTTAGAGCCAGAGTATCTTAGCCAACTGAACATCGTTGCAAACCCTTATTCTCTGCATAGTTTTGGGGCTTTTCCCCTTATTTAACTCTAAATTATGGCCTTCAAAGTCTGTCTTGCTCTTGAGTCCTACATCAAGATCTTTTCCTCTCATCTGTGATAATCCTTTTACTCTTTTGCTTTATTGGTTAATGTTATTTTTGTAGTTCAAACTTAGAAGCTTGGCAAGTATTTTCGAATTTTTGTTAACTTCTTTTCTGTAACTCCCATAATGTGTAGGAACACCTAGGTTGGTCTATGTTTTCCTTAGCTATGAATATCTTTGGCCATTTGTAGGGTGCACAACTTGTAGGTGGGTTCACATGCCATGTTCTTTCCACAGGTTTAAGCAAACCAAAATTTGTTTTGGCTGGAATATTTGTGGGACTGTTGGCGCATATGGCATTTTCTTTCCTGTCTCTCCCACCACCTCTCCCTTGCCTTCTCTCCCACCACCCCAAGCCTCTGTATGATCGTGTGTGTAGAGGTTTCAACTTACTATTTTATTGAGCACTATGCAGACATGTTTCTTGTTTTATCTGATACAGATAATGCTCTGCTTTGCTTAAAGCTACTTGTTGTGATAATCTTCTTTGACCTTTATGATTTTGCATAAACTTGAACGTGAGCCAGTGTTGTATGTATATGATGTTGCCTTAAGTTGTTGCAAATTTTAATGTAGGGTAGATATGGAACTACATTTATTATGTTTCAAGAGTATGCTGAGATTGTTGATCATCTTCTTGATTGGAAGACAGAAATGAAATTATGGAAAGGAACTCATTAAGTCTCATGCATTTGTTTAATTGGTATTCACCAAATAAGATGGTCAACTGATGTTCTAGAAGGATTAGAATTTTAGAAAAGTTATGCAAGACCATCTATTCTACCCCACCACCTAAGCAAGCCTTGTTTTCCTTTTCCTCCTTTTTCAACCCCTCAAGTGGATTTTCGGTTTGAAGTTCATGAGGACTTTTCTTTATCATGTGACTTTCCTGATATAGACTTGTGATTGAATTATAGCTATTCTGTGTACATTTCCAAGGGAATTTGAAATGTCAAGATTAACTGTAGGTAGCTAGTGTGCTGTTTCTCGTGAAGTGTTGCTCAAGTTGCTCTGTGTTTGTGTGCAGTACTTGTCTTCTCTTCTCTACTGCATGGATAAAAGAACTACCTTTTAAGTACTTTGAAATTCCAGGTAATAATTACCTGATTTTTTGTCCCAGGTTCTCAATTCATCTGATAAATCAAAAGCTAAACCAGCAGTCAGAACATGTGAGGCGAATATAGCTGTCAAGAGTGGGCAGCAACAATCCCCGCATGGTGGACATGCCAAGTCTGATATGCCAAAGACATCTGGGAAGCTTTTGGTTCTCAAACCAGGATGGGAAAATGGGGTGTCATCCCCTACTCAAAAGGATGTTGCTAGTCCAACAACCAATGGGAACAGCAGAGCTGTGACTAACCAACATGCTGTTGCTGCTATCACATCTTCTCCTGCAAGAAACTCAAACAACTCCAAGCTTTCTGCTGGGGAACGCAAGCCAGCTGCCTTGAATCCAATAGCCGGGTTCACTGTCGAAAAGAGACCATCTTTGGCTCAAACCCAGAGCCGAAATGATTTTTTTAATCTCCTGAAGAAGAAGACCTCAACAAACACTTCTGCTGGTCTCTCAGATTCAGATCCGCATAATTCATCTTGCACCACAGAGAAATCTGAAGTAACAAAGGAAGTAGTCTGTGCTTCTGCGACTGCTCATGCTAATGAGAATGGTACTGCATCAAATAGCAATGGTGACGCCTGTCAAGAGGCTCAAAGATTTTCTGATGATGGAGAAAAGAATATGAGCTCCACTGCAATGGTTTATCCAGATGAGGAAGAAGCTGCATTCCTTCGTTCTCTTGGCTGGGAAGAAAACTCTGGTGAGGATGAAGGCCTTACAGAAGAGGAGATCAATGCTTTTTATCAGGAGGTAGGAGATGTCTTTTCTTTTTGTCTCTTTAGCAGTACTTTCCGTTCTATTGATATAACAATTTATTCAATAACGTTGCATTGAAGTCATCTATGAGTCAATTTGTTTGATTAGTGTTTCTAATGAACCTTGATTATACTGAAAATCATGTGGAGTAGATCATGGTTTATCCTTTATAACCTTTGGAGAGAGTATAGGTGTAAATTTGTTATGCTTTAATTCTGATTCCAAGTGCTACAAGGGAGAGCTTTTATCAGACAGTATGATATTTGCTTATTTTGTGTTTTCATATCATTTTGCAGTACATGAAACTGAGGCCGTCTCTGAAACTGTGCCGCGGCATGCAGCCAAAGCTGGCTGAATCTTTAGCAACTAATTTGGGTGGAGCTTCTTCAGAATTGAGCTCGTCTGACTCTGGATCTGAAGCTTGACTTTCTCTGTCCTTGCATAGTAAATTGAAAGAAGTTCCAATTTTTGATGGCAGATGCTTAGCTTTTTTCTTTCTTTTTTTTTCCCCCTTACTTTTTTGATGTCTTCTGTTTGAAAGAAAGGTGATGAGTTGGGTATTGGAAGGGGGTAGGTTTTGGTATGATGGTGCATTTTGCAAATAGTGCAATAAGTCCTGCCCTGCCCTGCCCGCCTATAACAGAGAATTCTTTAGGTTTCTAAGGCTGAAGGTTGGTTGGGGAAAGATTGATGGGGCCTATTTTGTCTGGCAGTGGGAAGATGCTGGAAAGTTGCATCTTTTAGGGATATTCCGTCCTTTTTCTTCCTTTCCTTTCCTTTCCTTTCCTTTCCTTTCAAGAGGGTGGTTCAATTTTACAAGAAATAGCTTTTATTGGTGTTTTTGGTCAATTTTACGGAAAAAAGGAAATCAAAAAGTTCCCATTTTTAGTTTTAGTTCAATGTTATCTTTTCATTCCTTTTAGTAGAGCACTGCATCTACACGTGAATATATAAAAAGGTGATTCAGTCTTAAAGAGTAGTCAAAGCTTATCATTTATTTTCCCCAATTTTATTGCAAAGCTACGCAATATGTGTTACAACCCTTACTCTTAAGCTTTTTCAGGAGTGAATAAGTTTCAGGGTAATGCTAAGTTCGTGGATCGATTTAAATTTAATTGAACATTTAAGTCAATATGAGTTTAAATATTAAATTGGTAGTTCTTTTTTAGTATATTGCTTTAAAATGATGTTTAAATAAATTTTTATTTTTCAATTATGTTTTATGAGAATTTTTAAGGTGAAAGGTGAAAAATCTTAAGGGTGTATATAATCATGTTATATTAATATGTTAACATTTTATGTCAATGTTTTATGATAAAAAATAATAAGTGATATTTTAATTAGTAAATGGTTAATCATCAAGCTTATTTGAGTCAAAATAAAAATATAAAGATTTTTAATTTTAATGTTAACTATGTAAGGTGGCCAATTTGAATCTTTATAAGCTTAAAGAGTATGCTTATGTCCATAGAGTAATGATTACGTATAAGCGCGTGAAAACTCAAATGATGTTGTACATATGTTTAACACATAGATGATATAGTGCATTGATTGGCACTTAAACGAAATAAGAGATATGAGTAAATTTATGTTATTTTGTGATTGATATTTATGTGACATAAGGCATGATTGAGAATTGCAACTATTTAATGAGTATATGTGTTAATATTAGGTGAATTTTGATAAATTCAAATGAGAATGGAAGTTGGAAAGGAGATGGGAGTTTGGAATTTGAGCTAAAAAGCTCTAAGTGTTAGAAAATGTACATTTTGGACAAGAAGTATCAATGTAGGCTCCATGTATTGATACATTGAAGGAAGGAAGAACACAAGGGTTTTTTTTTTTTGGGAAGTATGCATTAATACGTTACCTAATGTATCGATAGATTTGAAGAACATAACAATGAATGCGATTTCTATCGATACATTATTTAAATGTATTGAGAGATTTGAAGAGCAAGACATTCTGGCTGAATTTTATCGATACATTATTCAAATGTATCGAATAATTTGAAGCAAAGATCATTCTGTCTAAAAAGTATTGATACAATGTCTCATGTATTGATAAAATTGAAGGTAGTTCATGAAAATATATCCATACATTGCTAAATGTATCGATATATGCATGTAGATTTGCAAAAAATTAAAGGTATTGGGCAATCCACCCATTCTCCAGGTGATGAGTATGTCTACGATATTGTCTATTAAGAGATTACTTCCGATGATGATTACATTGTGATGTCATTCGTTGAGATTACTTCAAGTGATGAGTATGTCTATGATACCATCTATTAGGAGATTACTTCGGATGATGATTATGTTGATGATATCATCCGTCCGGAGATTATTCCAGATGTTGATTACGTTGATGACACCATCTGTCTAGAGATTACTTCGGATGATGACTTGACTTTTTGCCAGTTATTATGGCATCGCGTGTGAATTAATTCCATTAGTCGACCATTCGACGTGATTTGACAATATCCAAGGAAGAGCACTTGTTGATTGTGAAATTTATTTGATGATGGCATATGGTATGCCTAGAATTATAATGTTGATTGGAAACATAGACTTGGTCTCTTATTGAGCACAAGTATGTCGTCAGAGACCAAGTCACAACAAGGCATGGTTGATGTGATGTGCACATAAGATATCAGTATGATCCTCCCATTACTACCTTTGGAGATGTTTGATGAATAGTCATGTAGGCTTTATATGATATATGTGTCTCTCTTATTGTTATCTAATATGTTACATTATGCTACGTTTAGTATCCTCATCTCACTGAGTATTAGATGACTCACTCCTTTGTGTACCATGTACAGATAAATGACACCACAGCTTTATACGTGGCCTAGTGTTGCTGTTTTGGACAGAGGAATTCTGGTATCTGATAAGTTCTTCACCCAATGGTTCACTCCATTGAGTCTAGTCCACATTAGCTTTTGCAATCGGTTTTAAAGTTTAGAAAATTATATATCTTGGATATTGTAGGCATTGATTGCTATGCGATATTATGTAAAAAGTGTTGTATGGTATGAATCCTATAATTGATCAATGTGTAACCTCGTGAACTATGTATTAATGAGTTATGAAATGAATTATATTTTGCACATGATACCACGAAAGTTATCACTTTTCAATTTAGGTCGTAATAGTACTAAAAGAATAAGTAGTTATTTAAAAATATTTAAATAATTTAAATTTTTTAAAATAAAAAAATTCTATTTATAATTGTTTTAAATTTGTTACTTATTTCTGCTAAATATTAAGAAGTAAAAACGTAACATATATGGAATAAATTTGAGTCCCAAAAGAGGCCTCTATTATCAATAATATAAGCAATAACTAGGCGAAAAAAAAGAGAGGATAAAGCAGTCTAGCTAAATCCGTCAGATGTTGGTTGTTCTCAAGCAGAGGCACATGGAGAATATTCCTCTAAATCAAAGTCCTTTAAAAAAAAGTCCAAATTGCTCTTCTTCTACAGCTTTATTCTGATTCTCATCCAACATTTATTTAATGAATGTATCCATAAGTTGTTGTGACCTCCTTGGAGTCCTCTCCTCACCACATTAAATTAAAGGTTGGAATTATGTATCCTTGCGTTGTCCTCACTTGCATAAGGTTTCTTTCCAGCGCTTGGCCAACCGGTTCCTGCTATGGCAATTGAAACATGGCCTGCATTGATCTTCACCAATGCAGCATAACAAGCATCATGCAGGTTATAGATTCCAATGTCGCATACTCGAATGGAATGTGTTGAGGATCCGAGGGATAAGCAAAGTTAGGGTAGACGCTAAGCATGAGTGGTGCTCCTGTGCGTGACAGAGATGCTGCAACATCATTCATGGTAACCAAGGCTTCCTTGCTGATGGAGGGGTTGAAATCAGAAGGATTTTTGTTGGGACAAAGGTTGTGACCCTGGTGCTAACTGACGTTAGTGCAGTGTGCACGTTGTCCATGGCTCTGTAAACATAGGCTGAATCAGAACCGGGGATTACGTCATTACCTACCGAGACCCAACCAAATGAAACATCATCCGTGTAAAGGGTCGATATCAGATTGAACCCATTCATTAACTGCATATTGGCTTGGTTTCTAACACCAAGAGATTTGGATCTTTGACCCCCTCAATGCTTCAAGTACTTCAGGTATTGGCTCAGAGAGATTCACGATTCAATTCCACACCTCTGATAAAGTCCTACCACGTCTTTAGGAAATGGAAGATTCCTTTCCATTCCTCCCACGGTTAACACTAATATCATAGGCTCCAGCATAATTTGCCACCAACCATATAAATTTGCAGTAATATATATATTTAGATATAAATATAGGAAATTTCTTGAGCATCCGGTGGTGAACCAAATTTGCTATTTGCAGCTGTATGGTTTGTTTCACTATAAAGAATCAAATTTTTCTGGTCTGCGGAAACTAACATGCTCAAGGATGTGTTTTTATGCGTTAAAGGGATTGAAATGAAGTAGCAGAGTCTATAGTTCTAAATGCCATGAACAGATTTTTCATGCCTGAACAATTTCATACAGTTAAAAGATCCCAATTCCTGTTCTCTACTTACAAACAAAAATTCAGAGGAACCTAAAGATCCCCGTTCCAGTTTAGCTTATTGTGTTGTTGATTAAAAAGAGATGAAATCCAAATGGGATATTCAATTTGGACTGTAAAGGAGACCCTCAAATATCTTCTTTCAACCTATCTGACTTGGCCATCACCTCCAAAAATATTGCTTCTACCTTCAAACTAACGCTTTTTAAATCATCAGATAACTCATTGGCCTCTGGCCTTACAGCAAGTTCTTGGTAATACATAACTCATTAGCCTCAGATATCCCCTTGAAGACTTCGACATCTGGTATTTCAAATCATTACACTCAAAGACAGTGGCAGGCCGGCGGATTCAATATACTCCAAGGTCTGGTAATGAGATGGCAGACAACTTTGCCAACAGGGAGTTGATAGATTGAGCGACCTGCTGCGAATCTTCCCTCAGTAGCTGCTTTCCTCCCTTCTGTTCGTCTTAGGAGTTTATGTCAATTCTGGAACTTGGGCGGACATAGCGGAGAAGTAAGAAGTCGAAACAGGCTTGCAGGTTTTGTTTGTCTTTCTTACTTTTCTTGATGTGAAACGATCGTGTGAATAGCTTAGTGCATGATTACAGTGTCACTTGTCAACTTACAATTGTATAGATTTTGAGGCTGCAGGTTGTTGTGAATCCTGGTTTCTTCTTAAGTTCTGCTGTTGGCTACTTTTTGGTAAGCCATGCTAAGGCAGTAACTCGACTGCTCCCCTGCAGGTGAGTTCTGCCTTTCTTTTGTAATTTTAATGGATTTTTCCTTTTTTTTTTCTTTGGTGTGACGAAGAAACAACAAATCTGTTATTTACAAAAAACGAATTAATACAAAGCAGCGCCTAGAGCAAATTAAGTCTAAGAAAATGAATAGAACTGATAAACAGGCTGCATACATTTTAGGCTTTTTAGTTGGACATTTCAAGAGAGTAGGGATTTGAATGTTTGGCCTCCTCTCTTAATTTGGAATCTCATTTAATCCTGACACATGCTCCATGCATAAAGATAAAGCTCTTGTATAACGGACTGGCATTTCCTGGCTTGTGCTATGTATGGGTCATTCTACAACGGACGTATAATGATTTTCCGTTTAAATATGGAGTATATTAGTTTCCATTTTGTGGGAAAGGTTTGTTTGGATTTGTACTCCAGCGGAAAGTTCATTTTTGATGGGAGAAAATTAAGAAATTTTGTTCGGTTTCCATGGCGGAAACAATCCATAAAAGATGTTCATAAAAGAAGTTCCACCGTACCATTACAAAGATAGTTACTATATTATTTGGACTAATTTTACACTTTATCCCTTAAGGGAAAACCACATGAAGACTAAAGAGCCAATAGCACTGGAATCACCAAAATGGATAGACAGGTGCCATGTTGGGGAAGAAGAATCCGAAGTTCTGCTCGACTGCATTTTCCTTCAAGTTTTCATTGAACATCTCAAAGAAAAACGCATCCATGAGATATGACGGCCTTCTTGGAGTCCCATTCTGCAACACATGATTCATAAGGTTCTTGTTGTAAGTTTGAGCATTGGCCACGCTCGTGAAAGGTGGATTTCCCACCGACGGCCACCCAGTCTCGGCTACTGCAAGTTTTACACCAGCGAAGTTGATCTTTTCTAAGGCGGCGTTGAAAGCATCGCACATGGCATCAAAGAGATTGAAATATTGAAAGCTTCCATCGGTCACCACCGCTGAAGTGGAATTGAACAAGGCATATTCAGCGGAAATATGAATAGGGTCCGAGGAGTATGCAAAGTATGGGTACACATTGACCATGAGGGGTGCATTCTCTTGAGCCAGAATGCCAGCAATACTGGCTATGGTCCCTGTTATATCGCTTGCAAAAGCACCAGCAGAAGGAGGGAACGAGGCTCCCAGTGCAGTTGCAGCGAGTACAGTGGTGACGTTAATCCCGGTTAGCCCGACTGAGGAGAGTGCATATCTGATGTTGTTCATGGCTGCAGGAACATTTGCGCCCAATGGCCCTGGAATGACTTCGTTGCCGATGGTGATCCATTTGAACGAAACATCGTTCTTGTAAGGGACGATGTTCTTATTAACCCAGGCATTGGCTGCATCTTGACTCCCTGCAAAGCTCGCTATGTCCTCATTCCTTGGACCAATAGCGACGGATAGCCCTGAACCCCGTAACGCTTGAAGCACTTCTGGATAAGGCTCATAGATCCTGATATTGTCAATTTGACTTCTTTTGTAAAGGTTGATGACATCCGTCGGAGATGGAAGATTATTTCCGTTTAAACCATAGCAAACACCAATATTGCGGGCATCTGCAACATTATGGTATCTCAGTTAGCATCAAGGTCAAAGACAATAACATCATGCAAGTAAACATGAAATGGAATGAAGATATAGTTCCAATTTTGGATGTATAATCACAGAGAGAAAAGATTTTACCAGCGAGAGAAAGCAATTGAGTTAATAGCACCAGTGCTGAGACAAACAACTGAGCAAATTTTGGAGCCATCCCTTTCCTACTTGCTTTTACAAATTCAACTGGAAGCTTGAAATTTTGGAGCCATCCCTTTCCTACTTGCTTTTACAAATTCAACTGGAAGCTTGAAACAAATTTTTAGGCAATTGACAAAGGGATGTCAATTTAATTGGTGCTTTTTTCATGTGCACAAAGCCAGGTTTATATAGCCCTTAGGATTCCCCCTTTCTGGACAATAATAATGTCATGGCATTTATTTGGATCATGATTAAATGCTTTTTAATGCCTTCATGCATGTATTTCCCTGTTTCTTTCCTTTCCATGAGCATAACCTTCCTTAAGCAGTAAAACAGAAATTTCATATACCCTTCTATTGACCAAGTAATCTGAGAAGATGATCTGGGTTTCCATGTTACAAATTGATACAACGAATCCGTAGCAAAATGGTTTAATTCCACATTTAAAAATAAACTGGATAACTGGATAACCCTGTAATTATGTTTATGTACTAATGAGCCTGAATGTTTACAATTCTTGAGGAAATATACCCATGCATCAAGCTCAGATATTGGCTTCAATTTAAGTATCTTGGTTGGATAGGTTGTTTTCTGACTTGATTTGTGCTTAATTAGGAGAGGAGGGTTCATGTAAAATAAGTAGATAACTATGCAGGCGCACTGCATTATCCTTCCTTTTATCATTAAGCTGTAATTTGAGTTTCCTAACAAGTAAAAGCTTGGCTGTCATTCTTTTGCACCATAAAAGAAATTTTTTTTAACAAAAAGAAAGATTGGTTGTCATCCTCTACTAGAGTTAAATCTGCTGTTGATATCTTCTGCCCCAATTTGACTTTATTCAATTGTAGCAAAGCGAAACGCTTTCCACAGCTCAAATATTATCCCGGCTTCTCCAGATGTGCCTTCACAGGAAAGGGTAGTAGGTTGAGTTGAGAGCTGCAGCTTGGATTGGAATAACTAGGCTGATGGATTGAGATGTGGGAGAGGGTAGCTGAAGAGCAAAGTGTATTGTCCGACCCAACAAAAATGCCTGACATTGGCAAATGGAGAAAAGAGGAAGGTCAATGTGACCAAGACAATATAAATTTGATTTGCCCCTGAATAGAACTGGAACAAAAAAAGAAAAGACAGCATAAATGTTGTCAAGCGCAGGCGGTTGAAACTAGAGTTAACCACCGTCACAAATTTCAAAAGGCCAGGATGAATCATACTTTCATACTTGAGACAGTTGGTACATCACAAGATTTACGAAGGTAACAACTTTCTATCCCACTCATTTAAGCACAGATAATACATACACATATAACTGCCTCACTTGTGGTTCCAAGCTCCAAAGTCTAAACACCAGATGCAAGGCATCTGTCTTAATTTATTCTGAGTGACAAGTCCAATATATCAGCCCGCTGCAGTGGAAGATTCAAATTAACACAAAAATGAAATTAGAGAACATCTTAAGAAAAATTGGCAGTATACATACCAACAAGAGAGAGAGAGAGAGATATTCACCTTCAAATAGGAATAATTCTACAAAATTGAACTAACAAAGTCATGTAAAAACATGACATTGAATATGGTTGCAATTCTGAATTTTCGAAAAACATTTACCTGATTAAGACGAACACACACTGTAAGACACCTGCAGTTCCAGTCCACACCGAAGGACCAGATTTCACAAGCGAATCTTGTATCAACAGGCCCACAGAAGCAGCCAGTGAGACAAAGGATACAACATAAGCAAAGAAAAGCCAGAGCTTCAACCTATTGCAATGAAGGATTAGCATCCATTATCCAGAAGAAGAAATCAAAGGAGTAATTTAATTCTCATTAAACAGTTTGAGTTCAAATACACAACAGAACAGATACAAGGATAACCAGCTCATTACATTCCTAATAATTAGAAGTTTGCCATATAGATGATCTTAAATATCAGCAATTGACCCCAATTATCTGAAACCATGCAAGGACAAGATACAAGGCATGTGGCAAGAAAACAAGACAAAATGGAAATTAAAAGCTTAAGCACCATTAGTAATTTCCTATGGCTTTCATATAAAGCCAAATCCTTGTTTTGAACTCCAAATTTCAATCAGTGACTATGAAATTGTCATGCAACTGAAGCACATGTACAGGTCAGTTTAATTAAATATTACTAAACACAACAACGAACTGGATGAACCATGCTTAACAAATATTGATAGCCCATAAACCACTCCAATCCCAAATGATAGCATCAATACATGATGCAAATTTCTTTACATTTGCAATGAAAATTTTGATGTAATTAAGCAAGACCATTATTAAGCTATCTTTTGACTAAGCATTAACTTAGCTCAAAACTAGGGGAACCTGCATGAAAGTAGAAGAAGCGAAATGGCTTAAGGGCATTTCTTGTGTCTCTTAAGCAAATTCAGTAGTGACTCATACCGAATAAGCTAGCTCAGGCAATTGAGTAGCATGAATTATTAAGGGATAAGTTCGGGAAAATAAAACTAAAAATACATAAAAGAGAGTGTTTTTTCAATTCCCACTTAAAGAACCCAAGGTTCTCCTAGAATATCAAGAGCGCAAAGACTGCAGTGAAAACACAAAGCCAAAAATTAATAATTTAAGCCATAATGACACAGGATTAGCACCCCTTTTTCCTTTCTTTTTTTCGCTTCATCCAGTGCCTAAATTATACAATTAGAAATAAGCCTCTGTCATTCCTTTTCTCACCATAATCCAATGTCTATACTCAAGCTACAATAAATGGCCATGACAACATATGTGTTAGAATTGAGTTTGCTCTGGTGCAGGAAAAAACTAAAATGAATGACCAAAACAACTATAGGAAGTGTATCAAAACAAGTTTCAAAAAATCAACAAGACTGTTCAAATTTTGTATTATTTCTCCAAAAGCAATTGGAACATAAACTGCAGAAAACACTATCACTTAAATTATTTAATTATATCTGCTTTCTTATATTTTAACCCTTCAAAATAAAAGGAGAACTTGTAATTCAGCTCTTGAGTCTGTAATATTGGTTTTAATACTAGAATTTCCATTGGTAAACAGCATCTAAGTGTACAAGGTATATGATTTGTAAATGAATGATCATCACAACTACTTTCCACAGATGCACTAAAGCCTTAAGGTTGACTTCAGTGACAACACACACAAAAGGTGGATAAAAAATTGTAAACCAGCACTCTGCTCATCAAGTATAAATCCTCAAAACTTGGATGAGATTTCCTTGATTTTCAAAAGTCAGCTCCTCCAAATTTATGCCATACAGGCAGCGAAAAAGCTTCCAAGATCACAACATTATCATGCCATGCCTCAAACACAGTTGCATTACGAGAGAGAGAGAGAGAGAGAGAGAGATCAACATTAGGAGACTTTATAAATGGATTTTAAGGGACAGTTCCATATTAATAAACTCTACATGAGTATGAAGACCCTTCAGACAGATTACCACCTGAAATTAGGCATCCAAACTGTTCAAACTTTCACCCAAAAAATAGGCGCTGCACATGAAATAAATCTAATCTAGAACTGAATTTAAAGACATGCGTCTGTGCAAATATGCACCATCATACTCAATTAAAGTAACGAAAATCTAAACCACTTTGTGGTGAAATTTGTTATTCCAAAAGGATTAAATTAGTTGAGATGCAAGAACATTGACTCTGAAGCCCTAATGCTTATGGAATTCAGAGTTCAAAGTAAACCTCGATTCTACAGACAACATAAGACTTTCAATAACAATAACTTTATGCAATCAACTAACATGAACAACGCATCTCAATTTCACCTGAAAATATCTCAATCTACGGCATTACCACTGAGGAACAGCAAAACCCTAAGTAATTTACATAACTTTTCAATCATAAGCAAAATGATAAGAATTTTAGCACAATTCAGTAATAGTAAGCATAATCAAACAACACCGATAAGCAAATCAAACGTTATTCGATCCGGAAAAAAAATCAACTAAATAAGAGCAAGCAATTGAAAGAGAGAAACAAAGAATTAGCTAACCTCCACTCGCCTTCTTCATAAGGAGAGTAATCGATATCTTCTTTTCTAACACAATTGAACATCAAAGCCGCAATAGATGCAAATATTCCTAAAAAAAAAAGGAATAATCAGCCATATAAACATCGATAACAGAAAAAAAAACTTACAATTAAACAAAGAAGCAGAGTATGGAAAATAGAGGAATTGTCTTGTACCAGGTAAATAGTGGAGGAAAGAGACAGCAACGGAACTACAAACGACGGCGTCGACCCAAAACCACCAGCCGGCACCGAACACGGCGCCCGCGACCCCGGGCCCGAAGATCGCCCACAGCTCCCCTAAATCCATTCGATTATTTTTTGTGTAATTAATTAACTAATTATTGAGGATGAATTAACGATTCGATTCTTTTCTTTATCTTAAGCCCTCTCTTCTCTTTTTATTTTTTTTTATTTGAAGAATAGTTTAAGCCTTCTTTTAGTACAGCCTATTGTGAAGTGTTATTTTCCGCTGTTTCTTTCTCTCTCTCTTACTACCTTCCTCCCGAATCCTCCCTACGTCCGCTTTCCTCTTTTCATCTGTTTTTTTCTGCTTTATTTTGTTAGGTCTTTTTCATTTTTTAACTATTAGTTTTCAGTTTTTACATTTCACTGGTGTCATTTATTTTTCAGGAAAGTTTTTTTTGGCTGCATCCTCGCGTTGGTGTTTTTATTTTCATTTTCTAGAATCTTTGTTGTTTCCCGCATAATTTTTATTTTCTTTTAATAATAATGAATGAATATCTTGCATGATGTCAATATGATCTTTTTTTTCTTTCATTTATTTTCACTATGAATAAAGATTTTTAAAAAACATAATTTTTAAATATTTTAAACAATTTTAAATAATTTTTATTATATTTAATTATATTTTTATTTTAAATTAAATAAATTTTATAAATATTAATTAATTATTATTATTAATTAAAATATTATTTATTATTTTATATTATATTATGTTATTGTAATATACTAATATGTTGTAATCAATTTTAATATAAT